AGAGGTTGTTGGGCAATAGCATATGTACCTTGAAAGCAAATATGGGGATGAATGTGGTCTGCTTGAGGCGAGGAGATCCCAGCCAGAGGGGAGGGAGGTGCAGAGGTGAATCGGGAAGCCATTGCACAGTCTGCACAGTCTGGGGACCTTCATGGGGTGAGGGCTCTGGTGATGACAGAGATTGGGGCAATGCAAGAGGCCCATGATTAAGAACCAACAAGACTCCGTGAGGAAGAGGTCTCCCCATGGGCTGTTTCCTACCTCTTCTGCTTTCCTTAAAACCTCAACCCGACTGAATTTCTCCTCTCCTCTCCTTCTTTCATCTGAGGCCAACTCTTCCACTCGTGTGCTTGACTCATTGCTTCCTCTCCCTATGGAATTCCCGGGATGTATGTCCTCTCTTGTCACATCTTCAGGCTCTGTCTCCACTGGCTCTTGCCCACCTACAGACATGCCCATGACATTTGCTCTCCCTCTGAAACAACTTCCCTGGGGCCTTGTTCTATTCTTCAGCAACACTTCAATTCCTATCCTACCTTTTGTCTCCAAATTTGTCAAGAAAGAACTAACTCGCCCAGTCGGTGTGGCTCTGTTGGTTGAGCATCGTCTCACGCACCAGGTCACTGGTTCTATTCCCAGTCAGGGCACATGCCCAGCTGTGGGTTCAGTCGAGGTAGCTGACCAATGTTTCTCTCTCACTGATGTTTCTATTTCTCTCCCCCTCTCCCCTCCTCTCTCTGAAATCAGTACAAATATTTTCTTTTCTTTTAAAGAAAGGGCTCAGTGTTAATCCTTTCACCACATTTATACCTCAGCCTTCCTGACTTGAACTCCCACCCCTACCAACACTGCAGTTACCAGTGACCTCTTTTATGTTAAATCCCAATCTCTCAGTCCTCAATCTACTGAAACACTGCTGAGTGACAGCCCGTTTCCCACTCCCCACCACCTTCTGAACTTGACTTTGGAAACAATTGTTCCAACTCTCTCTCTTCCTCAGCTCTTCCTTCTCGCCCTCTTTAATGCCATGCCCTGCAAACAAAGCTGCTTTTTATTGTTTTGTCCTCATCACCCTACATCAGAAGTGAGCAATCTTTTCTTGCATGAGGTTCAAGAAGAATATATATATACACACACATACATGTAAATATAAAACTGAAAAATATCCATCCATATCTATACCTATTTATTTATACTCTATTTAATAGCATAATAATCACTTCGAACATGGCACTACCTTATGCTCTCTAAAATATTACATCAAGACATAATTGCAATATAACTAGCAATATGGAAGCATCTTTCCAATCTTTTTGAAATTACGTGAAGGGCTGAAGTTATACTTGTTCTCGATTTCCTTTCAGAACATTAATCTCGATTATGGATCTTATTGCCAACTGTCTATGAAGAATTTTCAGTATCTCTTCTTAAGCTACAGAACCTCAGTTTCAGCCTTTTCTTTCTTAGTGCCTCAAATTGAACCCATCCCACAGAACTCACCATCTTTTTCCCTCATCCCTACTGAATCTGCCTTCCTTGGCTCAAAGGTCTTCTATACAGAGCAAAGAACATTATTTTGCATTTTTATAGTGATAAACACAGTATTGTTAGTGCTGTAAAAATGCTTTTATAATATTTGGCAATAGACTTTTCACAAATATAGTAGTTAATGGGGTATTTTTTTAAAGCAGCAACAAATCAATGAATCAATATTTACCTTTAGAAAAGGCAAATAATGTTTCTTTAAAATGTTGCATGATAAATCTGATACAATGTAAAAAGAATTCTGATGAGTTGGGAAGAATTGTATCATGTTTTGGTTATATTTTTAATCAATGAAATAGCAATTGATGACAACAATAAACTTTATTAAGAGCCTTCAAGGTATTAGAAATGAATAGTGGGGATTGCATGCTAAGATTTTACAGATTCTCTCATTTTATTCATTAAAATTACTTTGGTCAATGAAGCAGCAACTGAAGTTATCAATGAGGAAATGAAAATATTAACAACAGAATATAGAGCAAATCTAGAATTTTCTACAAAATTATAATTGTAAAAATTAGATCTATAATGGTCTTAAAATTTAAGAACTAGTTAGTAAGACAGGTTCCATAATAGAGTTGAGAGTCCATAAAAGAGTCCACAAAGAGAATGCTGTTTTATATAGACATTCATTTTCTTAAACATATAGCTTTATGACCACTTTTTATTATTTTCATACTCATCTCAAGATTAGTTTTGTTATCTTAAGGCTGCCTGAAGTGAGATATATGGGTGTTTTTAAAATGTAGAGGTCTTAAAAAGTCTATCATTGAATCCCTAATTAGACATGAAACCTTCACAAACATCTATCTGCATTATATTATAAATACATATAGAATCTATAAAAGATGGTGACAGTAATGCTCCAGACGAGGAATACATAGAGCTTTTGATCGACTCACTCAACCTGTACCTTCTTAGGTCCCACTCTGGGGATGTTCTAAGAGCTGGGAATTCAGCAGAGAACAAAGCACAATAAACCCTGCTTTCAGGTAGTTTACATTCTAAAGAGAAGAAAGAGAAATTAAACAACAAATCCATGGAATAAAGAGTGTATTAGAAGTGATGCCTTAAATGCTAAGGAGAAAATAAAGCAGGGGAGGGGTACGGGGAGCAGTGGGTTGTAATTACAATCGGATTATCAGGAGGGCTCACAGGGCAGATGACACTTGTGCAAAGACCTGAAGAGGCTGAGGGAGAGGATAGATGTCTAGATGCATATCTGCAGGAAGGACGATTCTAGTCCCGAAAGCCAGTGTAGCTGGAAGAGGGACAGATGGATGTGAGCTCAGAGAGGTCCCAGGGGACAGATGCCGTAGGATGTGGACGTTTTCACCAAGAGATGGAGATGCAGAGGGTCTTGGGCAGAGAAGCAGATGCTGAGAGCATGTTAACAGGATCATTGACTGAGGCTTTGAAAGTGGCCAGTAGGGGCTCAAGGGTGGAAGCAGGGAGAGCAGTGAGAAGTAACATGATGGGGGCCAACCAGGGTGGCATTTGCTCTGGAGAGAAACAGAATTCTGAATATATTTAGCGGAAAGAAGGGCAGAATTTGCTACTGCCTGCTGCGAGGGGAAATAAAGGGGGAGTCCAAGATGAGTCTTAAGTTGATGTTTTCAGCCTTAGGAAAGGATGTGGTTGCCATTTTCTGAGATGAGGAAGACAGGGCAAGTAGCAGGTTTGAGCAGGAAGGTCAGGAATTCAGATTTGAGTGAGTTGTCTATTACCATCCCAGACTGAATGCCCAGTTGGTGGTCTCCTTCTCACCTTCCCCCACCTCCCTATTCCCTTATTATTGCAGGGCTGGTGACCTGCACCCAGCTATACACCAGCCCTCCAGTAACTCCTGGCTGAGCCTTACATTCCATTAGGGACTGCTATCTGATCAATCATGGACACATTTGGACCATTTGTTTTACCAGAGGCTGCCATTTTAGTAACTATTCCAAGGCAGTGATTGGCCCACTGTGATCTTAGCACTTGGATGTATAGTGAAAAGAACGTCTCACCCTGCAGACACAGATGTGGGGATCATTAGCTTGAAGTTAGTGTGTGAAACCATAGATGAGCAGAAGAGTGAATTTAGAAAGTGTTAAAGAAAACACACACACACACACACCCCTACACACCCAAAATGGTGTCCCTCTATCTAAAAGCCCAAGACACCCAACCTAGATGTAAATTCTGGTCTAACTGCAGTTTCACCTTCCCCCAGAAAGATAATCTTAATCAAGCAGTCTGGAATTTTCTGGTCAAGCACCAGTCAGATAATACCACATAGGCCTGCTTTATTCCCCATGGAAAGGAGAGGCAATCTCTGTAATAAAAACTTTTCCCCTTCTCCTCCACCCAAAAGATGTCCCAGCCCTAAAACTATCCTTCCTTTTCTTTCCATAATAGCTCCCTTGCCCCACCCGTTTTCCTAGAAGAGCCTTCCATTTTGTACAGTGCCTCAGAGTGCCCTTTGGTTGCTAGACAGGACCCAGCCCCACTCATACATCACTCAATAAAGCCAATTAGATATTTAAATTTACTAGATTAAATTTGATTTTTAGCAAAAGAAATATATTTAATTCTTAGCTCACAGGGTGTTGTTCTTTGTGAGGATCAAATCCAATGCCTTTACACTCCTGGCTCACAGCGCTCAACAAAGAGGGCTACTAGTTTTCTTAATAAGCCCATCTGTGGGAGCTTGTTTCTGGGCCACATCCAGTCCATGCCAAGCTTGTGCATTTTCAACAATCACACACCCGAATAAAAGTCGAGGAAGAAGCAAAGACTAGAAGTGGCTGAGATGATTGGCATTTATAGATGGACGGCTTTCAGTGCAATCTTTTGGAGGCGGAGGCTTGAGGAGGCCAAGTGCCTTGAATGGAGCTTCCACTAGGTCGTACCCCCCCCACCGCATCCCCACTGCATCCCGCTTACTGCACCCATGCGGCTGAGCTACATTTCCGGCCAAGCCTGAGTCCCCCTCGTGGCGGACACACATTGGCCTCTGGTTCCGGGAAGCTCCTGACTCCAGCTGGGCGCCCTGCTTCTGAGGGTCACTGCAGAGGAGGTGCCGAGGCGCCGGACACCGGCAGGGCTGGCCCAGCGGGCAGTGGTGAGAAGGAAAGGCAGTGGATCTGGACCGGTTTTGCGCGTAGTGGTTGTGCGCACTTGGGTTCTCGACGCGTGGGAAACACCCGTGGAATAGGGCGCCCCGTGCACTTCACCCTGCTACTGGCGGAGTCGAGAATGGAAAACGTTGCAAAAGGAGGGCGCTCCAGTCGCCTGGCCGGAGAGTGGGGCTGCAGCCCCGGGGCGGGGCTGGGAAAGTTGAGTTTTAATCGCAGAGGATTGGGCTTCCCGCGGGAACGCCGGCCAACGGGGACCGTAAAAGGCTGGAGCGGACAGGGTAGGTGTGGCTTTGCTCCGTGACCTGAGCCCAGGTCCCTTTCGCCTTCCTCTCCCGCAGCCATGGGCGCCGTTTGGTCCGCCCTGCTGGTCGGAGGGGCTCTGGCAGGAGCGCTTTTCCTCTGGCTGCTGCGGGGCAAGGGAAAGAAGGGGGACGCGGAGGAGGAGGACGGCACTTCTGGGAAGGATGCTGCTGTGGGAAGCGACCGGAGTGGCGGCTGCAGACTGAGCCCCGGGCCTTCCCGGCGGGAGCTGGTTTCCAAACCAGGTATTCTTCCTCTCCGCGTCCGGAGGGCAGATCTGCCAGGGCTATGAAATTCACAGAGGGAGGAAAAGGCCCCCTGGAGCGTTCCCAAGAGTCCATTTCCAGGGACTACCTTTCCCTACCCGGAGTAGGACCCTTCCCACGCCCCGTGTTTCCCTTGCTGGTGCCGGACAGGTTTCTCGCTTCTACTGAGGCCTTGGAGATGCCCTGATGGTGCGTCCAAGGGCAGCGCTGCGCCTCGTGTCTTAAGTTGGTTTGGGCTCCGCTTGGCGGCCCGTGGTGCAGTGCAGGCGACAACAGTGGCGGCGAGCAGGACTCGGGAAAGTAGTGCTGAGGTTTAGGGGGACCCTGCAATCCTCTTCAACCTCTGGCCGAGCAGGAACATTTTCTGTCTCAATCCCATAGACTCCTGTCTTCCCATCCTCGCCTCGTGGAAGATTGGGTTTGGGAGCACCCGAGGAGCCAGCACCTCCCGCTATCTGAATGCTTCTGTCAGGAAGGCAAAGTTCAGGTTGGACTCTGGCCTGGAAGGACTCTGCTGGGGCCTGGGGCTGGCCGCTGGCCGCGGGGCTTGGAGCGCTCAGCCCTCCCCTATGCTCACCGCAGCCGCGCAGGGTTGTCCAGTCCGCGGGGAAAGGATTTACTAAGGACACTTAATAGGGGATCCAACTCGGATGAGTAGAATTGACATTTAGGTTTAAATCTCTACAGTTTAGGAGTATACGAGGCAAAGTAGGAGCACTGGCAGAAAGCCTTCCTTTCCAGTGTCCTCCTGGGCAAGATGCCATTGCCTGGATCCAGCCTAATGGTAAAAATGACATCTGTGAACTTTATTTTTAGTGGAATGCTGTTCCTGTGTAGCTCCTTAAAGATCTGCCCCTGTGCCTTTCCTGCCATTGGTTTGGGATGTGCAGAGATCTCACTTATGTTTCTTTATCAACTTTATGTTTCAGGTTGAAACATTGAGAAAATTCAGAGTAATATTTGTTTCCATCTCACTTTCAACCCCACTATTAAAGAAACAAAGAAAGACCACCTTCCCCCACTCCCTCTCCACCGCCCTCAAAAAACAAACAATAACAACAACAAAAACCCATCTATGCCCTGGCCACTGATGCTCAGCTGGTTTGGCATGGACTTATGCACCCAAAGGGTGCTGGTTCCATTTCTGGTCAGGGCGCCTACCCAGGTTGCATGCTGATCCCTCGTGGTGGGCATGCAGGAGACACCCAATAGATGTTCCACTCTCACATCGACGTTTCTCTTTCTCCTTCACACTTTCTGTCTCTCTAAAAATCAATACAAGTCTTCAAACAAACAACAGCAAAACCCATCTGTCATGATTGTATGACTGGAGATTTTGATCCTCTAGGGAGCAATTTAGACTATCAATGAGGTAACCAAGAAGGAAACTGAGTGTTTAGATTACGTACTTTTAAGAACATTTTAAAAAGCGTACGGTGGGAGGGGATGCAAAAAGTCGATGGTTTGTTGAAGAGCGTCCTGATGCACATGAGTGAGGGTGGCAAGGAGAGACCAGCCCCCTCCTGCCACCCTCACCGCCACCCCTTGCCCTGTGGTGCACTGCGGTCCTTTGTATTCACCAGCTGTGACAGCGGCTGCTGCTCTACCCCATCTGTGAGAGCTGACCCCTGGGCTGCCTGCAGTTCCTGAGCACAAATGTACTCTGCTGGTTGTAGGGAAGCCATCCAGCCCTTTGCCCCACAGGCTGTGCAACATATTTTGATGCTAAAAGCCGAACAGCTTGACTTGGTTGCAAGGCAGTGTGGTCTGGAATGTGGAAGTTGAGAACCATGATGGGTTATACTTCTGTCCTTAACACTTGCCACTTCATGGACACTCCTTGATATGCTTTTTCCTGTTGGATACACATGGATATTCTTAGCACCTATCCTGGTTCAGTGTCTGAACTCGGTAAGTACTTGATTTTAGTAGGGATAGATTTTGTGAACTTCAGATAGATTAGCGGTAAAGTCTTCAATGACTAAACATACTTTCTCAGCCCAACTTAATTTTTTCTTATAAAAAGTGACTTTTACACTCTGTTTTTATAGAGCATCTTCAAGAAAGCAATGGATGTTTGGTTTCAGAGTCCAAAGGCCCCGGTAACATACAGGAAGCAGCATGGGGCCTGCAGAGTCCTGGAGAACGTGGTGACTGTAACAGTTCAAGACCGCATGTTCCTTCTGGATGGTGTTCAGACACGGAATCTCTAACCACATCTGTGACTGGTTACTCTAGAGGATACTTTGAAGCTTCAAGAAATGAAAGCCGAGAATCTTGTATAGGAGAACGGGGATTCCAAAAAGGACAAGAGACAACTGCTAAAGCAGCTCCATGTTTTTCAGAGGAGTTGTCTCCTAGCAACCTGCTCATGGACAGAGGTAAAGAAGCAGTGAGCCTTACACAGTTGGACAGACAGGACTTGGCTGACCCGGAGGACTGGGAGATGGTGTCCAGGCACTCATCCTGGGGAGATATTGGTTTGAGTGGCAGTCTCGAGTCTCCAGCGTTAAACCCAGACCAGAGAATGGACAATGGCAGAAACACTCTTATGGAAGCAAGAGGTCAGAAAAGGGATGTTAAGACAAAAAGGGTAGTAGCGATGAGTTCAGAGTCTCAGCAAGTTAGTGTCAGGTTCCAGGTCCATTACATCACAAGCACGGGTGTGCAATTCATTGCAGTAACAGGAGACCATGAGAGGCTTGGGAGATGGACCACTTACATCCCCCTCCAGTATAGCAAGAATGGGTTCTGGTCTGGTTCTGTCTCCCTTCCAGCAGATACAGTGGTGGAGTGGAAGTTTGTGGTGGTAGAGAATGGGGAAATTACTCGCTGGGAAGAATGCTGCAACAGGTTCCTAGAAACTGGCCATGAGGATAAATTGGTTCACAAGTGCTGGGGGATTCACTGATTCAGTTTGCAAAGTATTGAAGAAGCTGTTGCAGAATGTGGGAGAGGCTAAGGTTGTGGAGCACACTTAATAATTTTAAACAAAGGAAGTATAACTCCGAGTTTAGCTGGGTTGTTTTCAGACTTGCTAGTGACTTCTGTGTAATGTGCAGAAATATATACGTAGATAATGCTTTCGGTGAGCATGGACTTTTTTTCTGTGGCACTGATGGGTGGATTATGCTGATCCATCAGTACTTTAGGGCTTGGTCCCCTTGGGGAGTGACTTGGCTAAGCTTGGTCAGGCAGCACAAAAGCCAGCCAGCTGCACAGGGTTCAAGTTTGAGGCTTTGGGCCATCCTTAAACCAAGAGAGTAAAAAAAGCTGCGTTCAAGAAGAGCTCATTTCTTTGTGGTGCAGCTAGAGAAACGTTCACCATGTACACTTGTGTTTAAACACAGTTAACACCATATAGAACTAGATCAGAAAATATCTGGTCGCTAGATGTGATCAGGAAGGCTATGAGACTTCCCAGTGTTTTTGGCTCGATTTTACCTGTCTGGTATGGTTTGAAGGTAGCAAGTATGTCTTTGTCTTGTGATTGAAGTAGAAACTAGGGCCCAGTCAGAGTCCATCATCAAGAGCAGCCCAGGAGGAAAGAGAAATAGGGATGGACTGAGCCAGGTGGCCGGAATGATAGCTCTTAGAGGTGCAGGTAAGCACTCCTGCCTGCAGGGAGGGACACGCCCATCATTTACTCCTGGGGCCTCTGTGGAACCATCTCTGCCCACCGCAAGGACCTCCAGAAGGGCTTCCCCACAGCAATTGTTTCACCCTCTCTCCTCTTCTTTCATACCTGTAGCTATCTTGGGTGACCACATTGTGACAGGACAGTGATAGAGAAGTACATCTTTCTCTGAGAAGACATAAACATTTAAACTTTACTATTATAACTGAAAAAATAAAACCTGAGTTTTATCATCTTTATTAAATGTCTGGATTATTTTTGTAAATATAGGTACCATGATAGTTTTAACGTAAAATAAAATAGTAATATTTTCCTCCATTAATAACAGATGAGAAAAAAACAAACATCAGGAGGCAGAGAAGTCTGATTTTCTCCTCCCTTTGGAGACAAAGTTTTAGAATATTTCTTTTCTTTTTAAATTTATCTTTATTGTTGAAAGTATAACAGATGTCCCTCCTTTTTTCCCCCGTTGACTCCCTCCTCCCCACTCCCACCCCCCTCCCCCACCCCTGCCACCTTCACTCTGTCGTCTGTGTCCATTGGTCACGCATATAAGTTCTTTGATTTATCTCTTCCCGTCCCCCGCTCACCGCTTCCCTCGGAGGTTTGTCAGTCTGATCCCTACTTCCATGTCTCTGGATCTGTTTTGTTTGTCAGCTTATTTTGTTCATTATATTCCACAAATAAGTGAGATCATATGACATTTGTCTTTCTCTGATTGGCTTATTTCACTCAGTATAATACTCTCCCCTCCATGTTGTCTCAAAGGATAAGAGATCTTTCTCTCTTACAGCTGCATAGTACTCCATTGTGTACATGTACCACAGCTTTTTTATCCATTCGTCTACTAATGGACACTTGGGCTGTTTCCAGATCTTAGCAATTGTAAATAGTGCTGCTATGAACATAGGGGTACATATATTCCTTCTGATTGGTGTTTCAGGTTTTTAGGATATATTCCTAGAAGTGGAATCACTGGGTCAAATAACAGTTGAATTTTTAAGTTCTTTGAAGAAACACCATATTGTTTCCTATAGTGGCTGCACCAGTCTGCATAGAATATTTCTTTTAAAATGGTTATCTTTGGAGGGATATTATGCATGCCTGTACTTGAAAATGAATACTTATATGTTAAGTATAACATCTTTTGGTGAAACATTATTTAATTTTGGTTATAGATGGTCTTTGCAGAGAAAAGCTTAAATCCCACTGAAGATATTATTAGTGCTTAAAATAACTTTTTGTTTGTTTGGCTCATAGCATTTTTATGTTAATTTGGTGTATACTTCTTACATACTTCATAATAAATTTAATATTCTACCAGTGAGGCATTTCCTGTTACTACCCAGAATGCCCAATCATTTCTATTAGGTAAAATAAAAGTTAAAACAATTTATAATAAAAATCTTTAGCATTCTATTATTAGCCATTTTATCATTATGTGATAAAATAAAAATTAATCTTCCAGTAAATCCAATTGATTTAAGAGATACTTATAATACTAAATTCATTATTTATTTATATTGATTCTTAGAGGGGGGAGCAGAGAGAGAGAGAAACATCGATGTGAGATCCAAACACGGATCTGCCGCCTCCTGCATGCCCCCATTGGGGATCAAGCCACAACCTCTGCACGTGCCCTGACAGGAATCGAACTGGCGACCTTTCCATGCACGGGATGATGCCCAACCAACTAAGCCACACCAGCCAGGGCTAAATTTCATATTTTAAAAAATTGTTACTTAAACTTGAATGAGCTTAGAGTGCTAAAACTGTCATTTAGACGAGAAATATGAAGACTTTCATTGTGTGGGGGAGTCCATATGCCCTTAGTTTATTGTCTGTCCTGGACAGGGCTAACACCAGCTGCTGTCAGAGACACTATCCCTATAAGGAGGCTGCACAAGCTTATTTCTTACTCAACAGTGAGCAGTGGGTTTTCCTGGCAGGGGGGCAGCTCTTGCAAAGATTGTCACCAGCCTCCTTCTGTCCTACAATCCCCTAGGACCTACTGGCCTCTGTAACCAGCCCATGGGAGGGGAAATGAAGTGAGGGGAAACCACAAATGCTTACTAGAGCTTTTGGCCAGAAAGTGCCACATATCGCTCTGTCCACATGCAATGGTGGAGGGCAGATGGGGCTGGGCCACAGCCTCTAGCCAGGCAGCTGTTCTCAGTGACATCTGTGCCAGGCAAGGAGTGCACACTGTTTGGATAGCCAGCCCTCTGCCACACTGTCCCTACTGGGCTTTGGTACAATTGAAACATTTTTGTATATGTTCTTCTTGTCTTGTTTTATTTGGTTCACACATGTATACTGTATTATAATATAATAAATACATTTGGCTTTTTCCCAGGTTGCTGGCACTGAGCTCCTCAAACCCTTGGAATTTTTCTTTTTTTTAATCCTCCCCCGAGGATCCCCCTTGCCCCGCCCCTGCCATTTGTCTTCAGATAGAGTGGGAAGGAGGGGGAAGAGAGAGAAGCATCAATGTGAGAGAGACATCAACTGGTTGCCTCCTGCACGACCCAACCAGGGCCGGGGACTGAACCGCAACCCAGGTACATGCCCTTGACCAGAATCAAACCTGAAATTCTTTGGTCCCCAGGCCGAGGGTCTAAACGCTGAGCTAAACCAGCCGGGGCTACCCTTGGGATTTCTTGAGAGATGGGAGTGTCTCTTATTATTCATAGTGAGTCCCTTTAGATCACACCTGAGTTTATGCTAATGAGGTGCTTTATGGTGGAGCCCCTAGATAGCCCTGGGATGGAGCTGGTCACCAAAAAGTAGTTTTTAGAGGTTTGGAACTTTCAGCCCCACCCACCACTCTCTGGGAAGGGGTGGAGGATGGGAGATTAAGCTCTAAAAATTCTTGAATATAGTAGAGTGCCCAGTAAAGATGATTCAGTCAACCATGGACCAAAGGACTGAATTAGATTATAGTGGAGCTGAAAACTTCCTATCACCTGGTGAGGTGGTAGCCACTCTGACATCAGAGCGTGACTCATGTGTGCCGATGCGTGGACACACCTAATGCAGTGCCAGTCGTATGACAGTCAGCACATGCAGTTGTGGACAGTACAGACGCTGGATAACAAACGACTGTTACTGGCTCATGTATTTACTACACTATACCTTTTATCGTCACTTAGACTGTACTCTTTCTCCTCATTAAGAGATTTTGCTGTGAAACAGATTACAGCCTCAGCTCGTGTTGACCAAATCTTGATTGCATCATTTTCTCTTGTGCTTGATTTAATCTCATGTTTTCTATAAATTTAGTGTGGCCTGTGTGTACAGGGTTTATACAGCCTACAGCAGTGCACAGTAGTGCCCCAGGCCTTCACACTCACTCACCCTCACTGACCCACCCTTCTCGTCCTGTGAGCTCCATTTGTGGTGTGCCATTTTTATCTTTTATATCGTCTATTTCATATCTTTACTATACCTTTTCTGTGTTTAGGTATGTTCAGATACAGAAGTGCTTACACAATTGCATACAGTATTCAGTACAGTAACTTACTGTACAGTCTTGTAGCCTGGGAACAATCGGCTAGTTATACCCTGCAGCCCAAATGGTTGTACCTTCTCGGTGTTAAGTGCACTCTATGCTGTTTGCACTAGACGAAATCACTTAGCAACACCTTTCTCAGAACATTTCCCTGTTGTCAGACGGCTCATCACTGCAAGAAGATCTACTGAGCTTTGGGGTTGGTGAACACATCAAGGGTGGGAGGGGGCACCCCTGGGAGGGCATGGGAGCTGCGTGCACCAGAACCCCATGTCTTGCCCAGCGCATCTCTTACATTTGGCTGTTCCTGAGGTGTTTCCTTTATAATAAACCAGTAATAATAACAAAAGCACTTTCCTAAATTTGGTGATCCACTCTAGAAAATTACTGAAACTCAGGAGGAGGTTGTGGGAACCCCAATTTGTAACCTGTCAGTCAAAAAGTACAGGTGGTCTGGGACTTGTGATTGCCATCTGAAGGGAGAGGCAGCCTTTGAGACGGAGTCCTTAAATCTGTAGAATGCGACGTTAACTCCAGATGGTGTCAGAACTGAGTTGACTTGTAGGACATCCAGTTGGTGTCCACAGAAAAGTGGTTACTGGTGTTAGGGATCACCCCACATACAAAACCCCCTAACTTTTTAAGATCTAATTAAGGCAGACAGAATCCATGCAATCTGTAGAAGTTACCCACTGACTGAAGAATAACAGGGTTTTCTTTCTTTCTTTTAAAGTTTTTAGTATGTAAAAGAGAAAGTCTCCTGAAGTCTTGAATAGGGGCTCCAGTTTTGTTATCTGATGACACTCACTGATACTGACGGAACCAACAGTGCGTCAGGGTCACGAAGGGACCCCGTCAGCATGGAGTCTGTCCTGACCGCGGCACCATACCACATCTTCCACTCTCACGTGGGAATTGTTTTTTAAATTGAAAAAAAAAAAAAAGTTATTGACTCAGCACCAGTAAAAATAATAAAAAAACACATAATTATTCCAACACACCAGCATTATAAATTATGAATACTTTCACATCTAGCTAGTACCGCTTGAAGTCTTACCGGGAGAGCATTCAAGAATAGTTTATTTCAAATAGAGTTTACAAGACAGGGTATCTTTTATTAAATTTTCACATAAAAAGAAAAATGTTTACAGGGCACTAATTATAAGTAACACCACAATTAATTGGGCATCATATCTCTGTAAAGAATAGGCAAGCAATCTATCATTTGAGTAACATTTTTTCCTGGTCTTTCACTTTCTGTATCCTCTTCTCTTGATTTCTGATCATTGAAGACATTGCTGAAAATGTTGATAAAACAAAGTTAGAATAGCAACATTTACTAAGACTTTAATTTTATTATGTGTTTTTTATAAGGTCAACTGGTTACTGTAGAATATGCATACTTTTTGAGCTCAAGAAGTTTTTGTTTTTTTTCTCCTCACCCGAGGACATTTTTCCATTTTTTGTTCAGAGTGGGAGGGAGAGAGAGGAAGATAGAGAGAGAAACATCGACGTGAAAGGGACACATCAAGTGGTTGCCTCCTGCACAACCCAACCAGGGCTGGGGACAAACCGCAACCGAGGTACATGCCCTTAGCGGGAACCAAACCCGGGCCTCTCTGGACCGCAGGCTGACGCTCTAACCACTGAGCCAAACCAGCCAGGGCTGAGCTCAACAAGTTTATAAAACTTGCAAAGTAGCATATTTTTGTAAAGACATGTTATGGAACAGAGCTAACA